TGATCTTGGCGCGAGGATGATCGTAAGCCAATGTTAAAATATGGGACTTACAATCAACTTAGCGCTAAGATTGCTTTGCACAAAGGCACCCTGATCATTGATGACCAACACCAGTACCCATCCATTAGGCACTGTAGCTATGAACCACCTCCAAACACCAGGGCCCCGTTCCTCAAAGTGACCTTGGCGTGACGATGATCGTAAGCCAATGTTAAAATATGGGACTTACGATCATCTTAACGCTAAGATCGCTTTGAGGAACGGGGCCCTGCTTGCCTGTACACCTGTACCACATCACGGCAAAAACCATGACAATTTATTCTGCATGTTTACATGAAATAAGAGCCAGTTCTCAATGGCAAGACCTTTTCTTATTGCTTTAATAAATGCTTGATCCAAATGTACACTGACCTGAACTTGTTAAATCAATGTTCACACAATTAGAACTGGATACAGATATTCCAAAAGTTCATGAAAATTAATAAGTATATAATATTAATCAGAGTGGGGTTCATATTTTAGCAACTTCTAAAACTTACATTTGTGAATTATACGTTTGTATGCAATATTTTCAAATAAATAAGATTTTCTCAGATCATGTAAACATGCCACTGTAAAAATAAATTGTAAAAATAATTACATAATGTTAAACTAAAACACATAATAATGCGTGCAAGAAGTGAAATCTTCCAAACCCAAACAATCTCTCACCAGGTGTTATTGAAATAAACGAACAGTTTCAAAATTGACAACATTACCTCCAAATATTCATCTACAAATTTTTTGCAGTATCGAGCCATGACCTGTGGAAGTTAAACACTCAAATTTGAAATTTAGCATTGTGAATATTCACAAAACTAATTAGCAGTCAATGTTCAACACACACAAAAGTGTGCTCCAGCCTGCAAGAACACAACCCTTCAATTCGGCCTTCTGGATCAGTGATCTAGCTGGCATCAATTTTGTTCAAAAATACATACATCAGGAATTTAAATGAATATCATGAAAAAAACTAATGAATATCATTATGATCAAAACAGTAGAGAATGATATAAAAAATTTATTTGCATGACTTCATCAGACAAAAGGTGTTCGCTGGTGCTGTACTAAATCTGATTTCTATATTTCTGAACCAATGAGTCTTTCCAAACACGTTTCTAGAATTACAATCTAAAACGGTCACTGAAAAAATAAACAGTATCAATGAAATGATTGTCTCTTGCTGTCTTTTTCTCTTTGTTAAAATTACCAATGCAGAGCATCAAACATACATGAAAGAGCAAGACATTGGTTGGAGCGATGCCAGTCAGCACTATTACAGCTGTATCAAAGATCTGTCTGCAAGACGACCTAGTGGTTGAAAGTGTGAGCACTCATCCACCTGTCAAGTCACATGGCCTTGTGCGTGGTTACCCATCCAGTAATATCCATATTTAGATGTCATTGTGGCAACACAGTTTCCAATCTTACATACATAGGGGATGGAGACCTATTCTGCCCCTGAATCCCACAAGGTGATAAAAGAAAGTATTTCTTGTTTCTCGTGATATAATGTAGGAGTGGATCATATCATAGGGAAATAAGTTGCTGAAGGAATGCTTTCAAATTAACAGGCACTAGACATGGTCCGCACTGCTTTTGGGGGGGAAATGGGAGTCTTCCCTGGTCACCCATCCAGGACGAGACATGTTTAGCACTGCTTAACACCATCATGGCATTGGCAGTCTTCCCTGGTCACCTATCCAGGACTAGACATGCTCAGCAGTGCTTAACACCATCATGGCACAGGCAGTCTTCCCTGGTCACCTATCCAGGACTAGACATGCTCAGCACTGCTTAACACCATTGTGGCATCGGCAGTCTTCCCTGGTCACCTATCCAGGATTAGAGGCGCTCAGCACTGCTTAACACCATCATGGCATAGGCAGTCTTGCCTGGTCACCTATCCAGGACTAGAGGCGCTCAGCACTGCTTAACACCATCATGGCACAGGCAGTCTTCCCTGGTCACCTATCCAGGACGAGACATGCTCAGCACTGCTTAACACCATTGTGGCATCGGCAGTCTTCCCTGGTCACCTATCCAGGACTAGAGGCGCTCAGCACTGCTTAACACCATCATGGCATAGGCAGTCTTGCCTGGTCACCTATCCAGGACTAGATGCGCTCGGCACTGCTTAACACCATCATGGCATAGGCAGTCTTCCCTGGTCACCTATCCAGGACTAGACATGGTCAGCACTGCTTAACACCATTGTGGCACAGGCAGTCTTCCATGGTCACCGATCCAGGACGAGACATGCTCAGCACTGCTTAACACCATTGTGGCATCGGAAGTCTTCCCTGGTCACCTATCCAGGACTAGAGGCGCTCAGCACTGCTTAACACCATCATGGCATTGGCAGTCTTCCCTGGTCACCTATCCAGGACTAGACATGGTCAGCACTGCTTAACACCATTGTGGCACAGGCAGTCTTCCATGGTCACCGATCCAGGACGAGACATGCTCAGCACTGCTTAACACCATTGTGGCATCGGCAGTCTTCCCTGGTCACCTATCCAGGACTAGAGGCGCTCAGCACTGCTTAACACCATCATGGCATTGGCAGTCTTCCCTGGTCACCTATCCAGGACGAGACATGCTCAGCACTGCTTAACACCATCATGGCATTGGCAGTCTTCCCTGGTCACCTATCCAGGACGAGACATGCTCAGCACTGCTTAACACCATCATGGCATTGGCAGTCTTCCCTGGTCACCCATCCAGGACGAGACATGCTCAGCACTGCTTAACACCATCATGGCATTGGCAGTCTTCCCTGGTCACCCATCCAGGACGAGACATGACCAGCAGTGCTTAACACCATCATGGCACAGGCAGTCTTCCCTGGTCACCTATCCAGGACTAGACATGCTCAGCACTGCTTAACACCATCATGGCATTGGCAGTCTTCCCTGGTCACCCATCCAGGATGAGACATGCTCAGCACTGCTTAACACCATCATGGCATTGGCAGTCTTCCCTGGTCACCCATCCAGGACGAGACATGCTCAGCAGTGCTTAACACCATCATGGCACAGGCAGTCTTCCCTGGTCACCTATCCAGGACTAGACATGCTCAGCACTGCTAAACACCATCGTGGCACAGGCAGTCTTCCCTGGTCACCTATCCAGGACTAGACATGCTCAGCAGTGCTTAACACCATCATGGCACAGGCAGTCTTCCCTGGTCACCCATCCAGGACGAGACATGCTCAGCACTGCTTAACACCATCATGGCACAGGCAGTCTTCCCTGGTCACCTATCCAGGACTAGACATGCTCAGCAGTGCTTAACACCATCATGGCACAGGCAGTCTTCCCTGGTCACCCATCCAGGACGAGACATGCTCAGCACTGCTTAACACCATCACGGCATTGGCAGTCTTCCCTGGTCACCTATCCAGGACTAGATGTGCTCAGCACTGCTTAACACCATCATGGCACAGGCAGTCTTCCCTGGTCACCCATCCAGGACGAGACATGCTCAGCACTGCTTAACACCATCACGGCATTGGCAGTCTTCCCTGGTCACCCATCCAGGACTAGATGTGCTCAGCAGTGCTTAAAACCATCATGGCACAGGCAGTCTTCCCTGGTCACCTATCCAGGACTAGATGTGCTCAGCACTGCTTAACACCATCATGGCACAGGCAGTCTTCCCTGGTCACCCATCCAGGACTAGATGTGCTCAGCACTGCTTAACACCATCATGGCATTGGCAGTCTTCCCTGGTCACCCATCCAGGACTAGATGTGCTCAGCACTGCTTAACACCATCATGGCACAGGCAGTCTTCCCTGGTCACCCATCCAGGACTAGATGTGCTCAGCACTGCTTAACACCATCATGGCACAGGCAGTCTTCCCTGGTCACCCATCCAGGACTAGATGTGCTCAGCAGTGCTTAACACCATCATGGCACAGGCAGTCTTCCCTGGTCACCCATCCAGGACTAGATGTGCTCAGCAGTGCTTAACACCATCATGGCACAGGCAGTCTTCCCTGGTCACCCATCCAGGACTAGATGTGCTCAGCAGTGCTTAACACCATCATGGCACAGGCAGTCTTCCCTGGTCACCCATCCAGGACTAGATGTGCTCAGCAGTGCTTAACACCATCATGGCACAGGCAGTCTTCCCTGGTCACCCATCCAGGACTAGACATGCTCAGCAGTGCTTATGTTATATTGAATACCTTATATACTCTCCCACAACACACATTCCTGCTTTTCAAGATTCTAAGAGAATATTTTATGATAAACGGATATGTTTGGAATTTGACAATTTTAACAAATATTATATATGTTGACGCAAGAACAACATTACATCACTTTGACTTTTGATGGCATGTTTTGAGTTGATAATTGGAGCCGATTCCAAAACTGCTGCATTTGATTTTAACATTATCAGGTTCCCCCAAGTCAACATGTACAGACAGTTTGAGACTGAGATACAGTTTGGGGGCAATCATGCAAACAACGTTAAACAGGAGCTAATTCATCTCAAATTTACAATTTGTTAGAAACTAGAATTGTTCGAAAGCTGTTATCAGTTCATGTTTCGAGTCTGTTAGTAACTGTTTCATGTACTGAATGTGAAAAATATCTTTCAAAAGCATTTCATAATGGACCTATGCTTGAGGGAGTCATGCATTTAGTAATGGCAAACCAAAGATAGGGAATTGTGGGTGATTGATTTCATTGGTTGTCAAAGGTCACATGATCACATTAACACTATTTGAAAAATAAACATTCAAGTTTAAAATCGTGCAGGATCAACGAATCATGCGTATGAATGTCATTTGCAAATCATGTGCTAACAATTATAAAACTAAAACAACAAAGGTGGAGTTCAAACAGGAAAATAATCAAAGCAAAACTTAAAACAGCCGAATAAAAAATAATCAATTTCACACTCATGAACAGAGGACATCGAAAGCATAGTGTTACACCAAAACAAACCTGGAGTTTTCGCCGTAGTCTTTGCTGGTGAAAGAAAAGTAACTGGTCACATTTTGCCTTATGAGTAGAAACGTACAAAGTTTTTAACATCTGAGAAAGTAGTTCTTCATATAACATACTACTTCCCTCCATAAATGTCATTTTCTTCCCAATTGCAACCTAAGGGAGATAACTCCATTTCCAAGGCTCTAAAATTCACATCTCCTAGAATTTTATATAAATAACCCTGTTCTTCTGCTAGGTGTTTACTGTTTTCTGTTGTAAGTATGTCCCTCTCTTATGACCTTGAAGTACACTTGCAACCATTTAAACCTTAAAGTTGTACAGAATATATCATCACATACACCCAACAAATTGCAGCTAACGGCAACATAACTTGCTACATTGTGCTTGTCTTGTATGACATGATATGATAATGGCAACATTCTAATTGCGATATTCCTGGAATTACCTTCAGTTTAGAGATGCCCTCTTGTGTGGACTCCGGACCATTCAGCTCCTTCACCAAGGATGACCCAAGATACTATAAACACCAGATCACAGTGTTAGTCCAAATGTGAGCAGTGATGCAACAATTTACTTACTGGGCTAAACCTTGTGCGACAGTTACAAGTTTCTTATCATGAGGATTTATTTGGATACAATATTTTGTCTGATATAAGCATTAATGAAAATGCGAACTTACCAAATGTTTTAAAGTGGATCACTAGTGAAAGTCTTAATGCTGAAATTTCTGGTGTCCCCCGCCGTGATATTGCTGGAATATTGCTAAAAGCGGCGTAAAACCATACTCACTCACTCACTCACTTAATGCTGGAACTACTCTCCTAACAATGGTAAGTACAGAGTTCCACGTATTCCATGACCATGCAACAAAGACACATGTGACAGAGTGTATTGTTACAGTCCTGACATTCCATCAGCACTTAGAATTCATCAGGGCTGGGATGATACGTACACCGATGATCCGATAAGTATCACGATACCTTGGTCACGATACATGCATGTGCTCTTATCTGTGGTACGTAAGCCATCTTTTTCAAATAAAGGAAGGCCAAATACCTGGCACACTAACGATTTACAGTTGGCAGTGTCAAATATGGCACAATGGATGAAAATAATTTCACTACGAGTTAGTGTTTGGTGTAACAGTTAATCAGAAAACATTAAAGTTAGAAACAATATATTTTACTTAGTGTGCGACTGTAATCGCTACTTGTATTGAGCAGCAAAAAAACCACCGATGCATCAGTGTATCGTCCCACTAATAGAATTCATCCCATATCATAACACTAGATCCCCATTTGCCTGAAATAAATAGTTCTGTCAATTTAAAATACTGGATGATCAAAGTTATCAAGCTAAGAAGTAGTCCCTGCATGCATGACACACAGCTGAGATTATCCAGAAGACTATCAGACACCGCAGCCTGAATCAGCACAACAGAGATTTTCTACCGCTATGTTTTGACTGTTATAGGCAGCCACCAAGTGTTTACGCCTTGCCTAATGAGGCTGACATTATTGTGCTGTTTGTAGCAAGACTTTTCTACCCATATGTTTTGAAACCTCTACTGGTCAGCGATATTCCCCAAATTCGACCTACACATACTTAGCCTTAACACTATGTACTATGGATTTCGCGATAAATATATACAGGTTACGCTTTTTCGGAAAATTTGCTCGAATAGATTTTAGAATGGTATTTTGGGGTTGAAATGACAGACAGATGTGAATGTGCATCATCTCGTTTGATTTTTATTTTTACGTGAATTAGTCACGTGACATCGCGTCTTTCCTAAAGTTGTATTTCAGCAAGGTGATCATATGGTGGGTTGTTTAGTATTTCCTCACAAGAGTCCGTTTTGTTCATAAGTTTCGGATAAATATTTCTCTTTTCTAATGAAAACGAGCAAAAGTAAAATGAGATGTGTGCGCTAAAACGGGGAGTTGGCGATAATTGGTCCTTTGCAATAGCTGATCCCTAGCCTGTAGCCTTGACATGAAAGGTGAAATTCTTCTTGATGACATGAGTCCGGTACACCCACCTGAGCAGTGTAGTTACAGCATCCCTTGATGAGGATCTCGGGGCGGTGGCGCCACTGTCGGACTGACCCCGTCGTGTGGGCCAGGTGGGGTGGGCGGATATGTATTGTGCTGTCACGGATATGCTGGCCCTGAAATACACACACACACACACGTATAGAGCAGTTACCTTAACATTACAGTGATACTGGGCCAAAATACACACTCACATAGCAGTTACTTTAAACTTACAGGGACACTAGGCCTAGTGGCAGTGTCAATAAATGAGATGCTAGTCCCTTAAACATGACTTTGTCAGCTCGTTTATGTTTAATGTTATGTATCAATTTAGCAATTTCACACATGATTGTAATTACAAAGTATGGGACTAGACAAGCAACTGGCACCAGACCAATTAAAGTTTTAGTCACTGACAAGTAATGTTTGTTTGTTTGTTTGTTTAACATTTCACTCAGCAATATTCCACCTATATGACGACAGTCTGTAAATAATCAGGTCTGCACCAAATAATCCAGTGATTGACATCATGAGCATCGATCAAAGATATTGGGATACAATAATATGCATCAACCAAATCAGCAAGTCTGACCACCCAATCCCGTTAGTCGCCTCTTATGACAAGAAATGGTTTCTGAAGACCAATTCTAACCGGGATATTCATGGGAGCTCGTCTGTCAAGTTGAAGGGGGACCACATAACATATCATATGGGTAATGTTTACAAGAACGGATGGACAGATATTCCTTACTTGACTGAGACCATCGTTGCCAGTTCCGAACATGAGCAATGGATTCTGGGAAGGTTCTGGCACTTCTGGGTCATCGACTGCGGTTGACTTGACGCCTGTATAGTCTTTATAGAGATCAATGTGATCAAATGGAGATATGACCTCCACACCTTGTGTCATGGTCTTCTTGATGATGTTCTGTAACAGAGAGGCAGGCGGTCAACACAAAACACATAATTCGCAGATAGAGTGAGTGAGTGAGTGAGTGAGTGAGTGAGTGAGTGAGTGAGTGAGTATGGTTTTACGCCGCTTTTAGCAATATTCCAGCAATATCACGGCGGGGGACACCAGAAATGGGCTTCACACATTGTACCCATGTCGGGAATCGAACCCGGGTCTTCGGCGTGACGAGCGAACGCTTTAACCACTAGGCTACCCGACCGCCCCTTCGCAGATAGAAATGTCAGGGCACTTGTAAACATGCTTAGGCATTGGAATAAACATTTACCAACTAGAGATGAGGTAAAATGGGGTTTAACGTCGCGTCCAAGATTATTGCACTTTTACGTGTTTGTGTGTGTGGCTGCTTGTACTAGTCCAGACTGATGCCGATTTATAGTGCTAGCCCACTGAGATACCATGCCGCAGTTTAACATGAATACCCCACTCAGACACAGTATACTGACTCCGAGCTGACCAGTCCTTGTTTCAGCCCCTTAATGCCAAGCACCAAACAGGGCAACAACAAGTACCATCTTTTAATGTCTTCTGGTATGATGGAGCCAGAGATCAAACCCCAGAGCTTCCGCTCTCTGGGCAGACGCTCTGCCACTAGAACACAGAGGCGCTCTGTACCAACTAGAATAATAATTTTGATCCATCATCTATCTTGGTGAATGTCACTTCATCCATGCTAGATAATAATCACTTGTAATATAAAATTTAAGTTAGCACCCTTCCTTTTCATTGAGACTGAAAATACGCTTTTTCATTGCTGAATACCCAAATATAATTATTAAATAACACTGTGCATTAAGAGTGTTCACATTTTCCTCTTTGTTTATTATCATTTTTTATAAAAAAAAACAGTTTGAAGGATTATCATTTTTGCGAAACAGATGGTTATTGTACTTAGCATAAAGTTACACATACTAAATGAAATAGTGCAAACATCGTTTTACTACAAAAAAGGCAGCTAAAAAACCAGAAGAAAAGACTTCTACTATGTGTGGGCCCTCTGGTGTATGAACCTTCATTTCTCTAGGGCCTAACATTGCATGAACGTCGGAGGTGTTAACTGTGTTCAACAAATCCCCTCTTGTAACACATGGGGGGTACTGGTATCCTGCCTGTCTGTAAGTGGTCCTGGGTGCTGTTGTACAAAGCAATCTTAGCGCTAAGGTTATCATAACTCCCACACCTTAACATAGACTTACGACAGTCGTAGCGCTAAGGTTGTTTTGTACAATGGCACCCTGTTCCACAAAGTGGTCATAACACACAAGTCTATATGTTAAAGTATGGGAGTTACGATCATCTTCGTGCTACAACTGTCCTAAGTCTATGTTAAAGTATGGGAGTTACGATCATCTTCGTGCTACAACTGTCCTAAGTCTATGTTAAAGTATTGGAGTTACGATCATCTTAGTGCTACAACTGTCCTAAGTCTATGTTAAAGTATGGGAGTTACGATCATCTTAGTACTACAACTGTCCTAAGTCTATGTTAAAGTAGGGGAGTTACGATCATCTTAGTACTACAACTGTCCTAAGTCTATGTTAAAGTAGGGGAGTTATGATCATCTTAGTACTACAACCTTCCTAAGTCTGTGTTAAAGTAGGGGAGTTACAATCATCTTAGTGCAACAACTGTCGTAAGTCTATGTTAAAGTAGGGGAGTTACGATCATCTTAGTGCAACAACTGTCGTAAGTCTATGTTAAACTACGGGAGTTACAATCATCTTAGTACTACGATCGTTGTAAGGTGACTTACAGGACTACTTGAAGAGTTGATCCGCTCCGGGGCAGGGCGGTCTCCTAATGACGCTAGTATTCGCTTCCTATGCCCTATAGATGTTATATCTAATACCTGAAACACAAAACAACATAGATGTATCACATGTACCAGAAACGAAATATAGTAAAACGGACTGTAGGCACAGCAATTGTGATTCTGTCAACATCTGAACCCCTAGTTGAGGCTGATGATGTGAAATCATCTTCCTGTATTTTGACACAACAGAGGTAACTACGTCCAATGTCTGATCACAAAATGCTCAATTCTTTGTTTGCATGTTGTTCAGTGCTTCACTCAGCAATGTTCCAGCAGTATGATAGGGGCTGTAAATAATCGGGACTGGACCAGACAATCCCGTGATTGATATTGGGGTATTGTGACACACAGTCAACACTGTTTGTTTGTTTAATGCCACACTCAGCAATATTCCAGCCATGACGGTGGTCTGTATATAATCAAGTCTGGACCAGACAAACCAGTTATTGACATAATGAGCATCGATCCACGCAATTGGGATACAATGACATGCATCAACCAAGTCGGCGAACCTAACCACCCAATCCCGTTAGTCGCCTTTTACGACAAGCATAGTTGCCTTTTACAGCAAGCATGGGTTACTGAAGACCTATTCTTACCCAGATCTTCACGGGTTTCAACCACGTCACCAAGCCTAACCACCCCATCAATGAAATCGCCTCAAACAACAAGCTCAGGTTGGTGGGGTTCACAGGCTCCAGAAAGTTTCATGGACGTGTAACTATACATAGGAACATGATGTCTGAAGAATGAAAATGGTGATTTCAGGACTGAGTCTACTTTAAGTCCCTGGTCAATGATGCACACATAAAATCCCAGCAACACCGACATACTTACACTTGTTAATTCTAACTCCCACACTTTGACAACACGCTCCATGGTGTCGTATCTATGATTAGTGAATGTATCTAAATACTGTTCCAACCGCAATGACTTCAGCCATTCTTCAACTGATGGGGGAAGCTTTGCTTGATCTGAAAAGAGCACTTACAGTGAGGAGGAAGTCAAGGAATAGATACATGACCTCTACCGCCCTACATCACCACCTGTTTGACAAGGCAGGAAGAGTTACCTCCACTCAGGGATGTCTGGAAACAGTTGTGTATGTCCACAGACACCACGATAATGATGGGCTTTTACAAACCAGGAATGTGGGAAATGGACCCAGACCTCTGATATCTAAGAATGGTTGAACCATTAATTCTATCCCATTTCAGTGGATATCACACTATGTTTCATCCATATTTACATGAGGCAAGATTAACGCTTACAGAAATTCATTATTATGAAGCTTATAAAGATAACATTGTCTTAATTGTTTCATTTGGTATGATCAAGTATCATAACAAAGGTTGGTTGGTTGGTTTGTTGTTTTACGCCGCACTCACCAATATTCCAGCAAAATGATGGCGGTCTGTACATATTCAAGTCTGGACCAGACAATCCAGTGATTGATATCATAAGCATCGATCCACACAATTGGGATCGACAACATGCTTCAAACGAAGTCAGAGAGCCTGACCACCCGATCCCATTTGTCGCCTCTTACGACAAGCATAGTCGCCTTTTACGGCAAGCATGGGTTGCTGAAGACCTCTTCTACCCCGGATCTTCACGGGTCACACACAGAGAGGCCTTCACATGAGATTTGCAAAGACAATAATCAGCTGCAAGCACTCATTATATCACTAGCCCTTACATGACGCTTACAGCGAATAGTGGTTCAGTAGTTAGACGTAAAACTTAATGATTTTGCATTTTGGTTGGTAACATCTGAGACCTGCATCTATTCAGACTATCCTCCAACATTAAACTGACCTGCCGTGATATAAATGGAATTCAATTACATGATGCATTAAACTCACTCACTCACTGCACTGTCACACATAATTGAAGACAACATCATCAATTGTTCATGATGTCACAAACAATCTTATGTGATGTCATTCCAACAACAGGCAAACTGAGCTTATGTCTCCAAATTGAATCAGGAGACACCCATTCTTCCACATGTTTCAGAAAAAAGACTGTGGGTAATAAACATATAGAACAACCAAATCGCAACTCGGAGAAAGCATGTTTCTGTGTTTTACAATGTTGAAAGTCACTTGCCAAAGCCTGGAACTTACAAAATGACTTCCCCCTGGGCATAATCCATAACTGCTTATCAAATTGGTTATTTTCTATAGGGTTATGTGTGGGCCTGGGTGATGATCTTACCTCTCAGTGACCTACCTATTGGTTCTAGTTTAGGTAAGGAAACGGCTGCCTTCAGCAGCTTTGTCCGGTGCTCTGTGTCTGTGATACCGATGCTCTCAAGGTCCTGCTCCTCCATCACCTTGCCCCCCTGGAACGCAAGGCGAGGTTTACAACACAATACTCACACCCCAGTGCCGTGTCATTTAACACAACACTCCCACCACAGTGCAGTGTCATTTAACACAACACTCCCACCACAGTGCTACTACTACTACTACTACTACTGCTACAGCTACTTTCAACACTCCCACCACAGTGCCGTGTCATTTAACACAACACTCCCACCACAGTGCTACTACTACTACTACTACTGCTACAGCTACTTTCATGGTTACTTCAACAGCTATACTCACAAGGAAGTCTGTATCGTCAAAGCCGTTAGCAACCAGTGTGTTCTCGTACTGTCCCAGGCCTAGCATCTCCAGCCACTCCCCGACACTCTGTATCTTGTTGGAGGCTGGAACACGCCACATGTCACATGTCACATCATGTCACATCAGGTCACATCATGTCACATCATGTCACACGACACATCACACATAACATTAACCCATTACACAAAGGATTGTCACATTACATAACATTATTTGTCTACTGCTTAATTTCATAGATGTTAAATTTTGAAAATATTTTTAAAATTCTGGATATTTACCATTTTAGGTCATGTTGACATATAACACCAACGGACAAAGACCTCTCAAAAGACTGAGTACCCTATCGGTATATAGAATAGACAAGTGTGACACACTAATTTCATTTGTGGAGAAATCTACACTAAGATTACTGCATCCCTTATAAATGTAACACATCATCTCGAATGGATGGATGGATGAGTGAGTGAGTATGGTTTTACGCCGCTTTTAGCAATATTCCAGCAATATCACGGCAGGGGACACCACAAATGGGCTTCACACATTGTACCCATGTCAGGAATCGAACCCGGGTCTTCGGTGTGACGAGCGAACGCTTTAACCACTAGGCTACCCGACCGCCCCTGGATGGATGGATGGATGGATGGATGGATGGATGGATGGATGGGTAGGTATGGATGGATGGATGGATGGATGGATGGGTAGGTAGGGAGGGATGGATGGATGGATGGATGGGTAGGTATGGATGGATGGATGGATGGATGGATGGGTAGGTAGGGAGGGAGGGATGGGGAGGGAAGGAGGATGAATGAATGAATGAATGAATGAATGAATGAATGAATGGAGCAAGCATGGTATCAGATTTATCATTTCTTGGAGCAAGGTAATTGGAGCAAGTTGTGCCCATGTTGAGACTACTGTGCTACTTTCCTTTCAACTCGAGTTATCTTTTGAAAGGTCTTACATATAACAACCAAAACCAATAAAACTCAAAAGAACATACAAATAAATGACAGAAGTGTACAAACATACTTTCATCCTCATAATCCGAAACTATTCCAGGTGATAGAAAACAATTTGATTAGTAAACAACATTAAGGATGTGTAAATTGATACTTTAAAGGTAATGTTTCCCCAAATATATTGATATACCAGTTGAGAGGATATTTCACAAATCATTTAATTATCATTATACAATGTCTTCATATTCTTCTTTTCTTCCACATATTTTCTATGTCCAGACTTTTTCCAAAATATTAAATTTCAATCAGGGCATGTACTTGTAATGGAGACCCAATACACCAACATATTTCCAGAAGATAATGTTCTTTAAGAAAGATAAAGTTCCCTTCTGAAACTAGCATGCACCTAGAGAGGGACTACACAAGAGGCTACATGATGCTTGTACACTGACCAGTATCACAAACATCCAAACTCATGACCATACCCTGAGCTTAGCAATCATCCTGAAAAATCCTTCAAGGCCAATATGTCACCAGTGACATGTGAAACCTGACCTCTTTTTTTCAGATGGTTTCAAATATGCCACTACATTTGATTCCCTAAAGATAATAATACACTTGAAATTGAGAAAGATATATTTTTTCATATCTAAATATTCTTTCATGGCATCACTGCCCTTCTGGTTAATCCATGTAGTTTCTGTCCCCAATACCCAATCAATTCTCCCGAGCATTATAAGCAATAATTACTTGACTTTTAAATAAGGTTTACTTCCTTCTTTAATTTCAACTTGTGAATTATTTCATTATTATTTAATTACAGAATTTATTTTGGCTAAAGAAAGGATGATTCACTTTTTATAAATTTCCCTGATAAACATCTGATATAAAAGATAAGGCACCAATATTAATTAGCAAACACCATGAAAACAAAAACTCAAAGTCAAACCAGGAGTCAAACGAAAATCAAACCACCATGACGACATGCTTGGGTCATGCACATAACGATGTATGAAAATGGAGTAATGAACATACGTTTTTGAGATTTGGGCGCGAGGTGTGTACCTGCCAATAACCGTGCAAAGTCCGCCTCGTACTCGCGTACAAACACGGACTCTCGAGCCATGCCCACCCCGAACTCAGCCAACGTGGCGGCGATCTAGAACAGCACAAGGCGGGTCAAGAGAGATGGGAGCATGTGGGGAAAGAGAAACAAGAGATTAAGGGAAAGACAAGAGAAAGAGTTAGTTCTGTCTCCTCATAAACCTGTCCTAGTTCGTCAGATAACTCCTAGAAAAAGAATTATACTTGGAAATGTCTTGTTTATAGCACTGAACACCCCAGTAGGCACCAAGTCTGATCAAGTCCGTCACAGACAACTCATATTCTGAAATGTCTTATAGAATAATCATAGTGAGTAAGTGAGTATGGTTTTATGCCACTTTTGGCAATATTCCAGCAATATCATGGAGGGGGACACCAGAAATGGGCATCACACTTTGAGCCCATGTGGGGAGTCGAACCCGTCCCATGGCTTGACAAGCGAATGTTTTAACCACTTACCACCCACTAACCACTTAAACCTTACCGCCCCAAGAAAAATTATAAAACTTGTCCATTAAAGAACAATATGGGTGATTTGTCCAGTCACCAGTAACACGTTGTTACATTCAAGTCATATATTATTCTTCTTCATTTTTTTTCATTTTGTGAAGGTTTTCATGAAAACATTCATCCCGAAACAACAAAATGATTTAAAATCATAAGCTTTAGAATTTACACTTGAGTAAATCACATTCAATACAGAAATGGAAAATAGACCCAAGACATATTTATTGTCACGCTTAAAGCTTTTTGTTTCTGTACGTCATAAAAGGGTTAAATTCTTAATCTTTCTAGAAATTGTGAATTTTATGGTGCTTCAGATCTTCCTTAAGTCCGAGTTACCTCCCTTTGACTAGAGACAGGAAGAGAGAGTCAGTCCGTATTTATATCAGCTGAGATCATTATTCCAGCATGACTAATTTGCTAAATATGCAATCACATGCGAGGTATCATTCACACTAAGATCATATTCATTATGCACACAAAGAAAGATAGCTAGATCTAGAAATTCAAAATGCATTAATAGAGACAGCTCATCAAATATGCCATATATTCTGGAAAAAAATATGAGATTAATCGTGCATAGCAGTCATCCATGGGCTATCTATCATGCAGACTGTAACATGGATTAATAATTTCCGTTATTTATCTCATGCAGCGGGGAGTTGCCATGGATATTCATCCAATACGCTTCCTTGTACCTCTCTCGGAGAGGAGTTTCTCCATGTGGGCCTCAAATATTGTGAAATCGGCGTAGAGGCTGAAACGCCCCCCATAACTGGACACGATCGCTGCTATCTGAAGATTGAAAATGTACCCACAAATCTCAATCATTTTCATCACTCCTCTGCTTGTCAGCTTTATATCAAATAATTGCTTCACTTTTTAACCAATGGCTGTGTGAGAGGGCAGTTATCGCCGACTGACCTAAATTCAAATCTTCAAATTGACCGTCTTTACAGATTATGTAAATGATAAATTATAACCACCTTGAACAGTCTTCACTATAGTCTGCATCAAACTAGTCTTGAACAAGAATTTGATTGTATGACTTGTGCACGAAAATTGAATATTGATTCAATTTTTTTCAAACTGGAACCTCTCTTGTGGATAACTGCTGCACATGGTCGACAGAAAGTACAAACAAAGAAATTCACTTTAAATCTTAAAACGATTATCGCATACACTTCTTACATATATGATAAACGGCAGCTGCAACTGAAAGTGCATATCTGACTTACTAGTTCAACGGAAAGACAAACACTAAATACATGACATATAAAGCACTTAAATAGCACAGCCTCCTTATGAATGTCAAATTCACAATAAAGACTCGACAGACACACACACCAGCTTTATGCAGTTTGGTAAGGAAAAAGTGAGCGAGCGAGTGAGTGAGTATGTATTTACGCCGCTTTTAGCAATCTTCCAGCAATAGGAACAGGGAACACCAGAAATGGGCTTCACACATTGTACCCATGTCGGGAATCAAACCCGAGCTTTAACCACTAGGCTACCTGACCGCCCAGGTAAGGACACAGACTGGATTTATACGCCAGAATGATAACAGATGGACAGACAGACAGACTGCGTTCAGGGGTAGATAACTCCAGCTAGTCAATGATTCATATCTGACAAGCGGCTTATGTATCATCAGAATCTTGGGGGGATCATATAAGTCCTGTTTACTTTTTTGGACTTATCACCGTACAGTGCAATATTCCAGCTATATGACAGTGGCATGTAAATAATCAAGTCTTAAGACAAACCAGTGATTGATATTATGAGCATCGATCCACACCATCAGAGCAGGAAGACACGCAATCAATCAAGTCACCGAGCCCGACCCCCTTATACAGTAAATCACGTTTTACAGCCAGCACAGTTTGTGTGTTTAAAGCCACGCTCTGTAATATTCCAGCAATATGACTGCCATTTGTAAATAATCAAGTCTAGACCAGAAAATACAGTGATTAAATACCAGCTGAAGCAACAGTGTATCTTACATTTGCCCATTCCTCACTCTCGTCTATATTGCCGTCATCCCCACTCTTGTGGCCGTTGGTGTTCTCAGCAGCAGCGTTATTTTTCAAGGCATCGTCGAGGCCAGCGAGAACCGCATCAGCGTCGATGTTGTCCTTGTCCTCCTCCTTCTCCATGACCGTGTCAAAGCTGAGGAAGGATGACGGGGTGGACTGACGTTTTGTCTTGATCTGCCGAACTACGTCACTTTCACATATTTGGGACACCACATTTCGTGGCCCTCCAGGCGTGGATCCCCGCAACAGACCTGAAACAAAGAATTTTAACATCAGAAAAAATAAACAAAAAATACGAATCAACTATAAAATAATGAAATAAAAGTCACCCATAAAAAAATAAAATTGGTGAAAAAAAAAGATTCACGTTAAATTCCAAAAGGACACAATTTGAATCCATTGCAAAAAGTGAGTAAGTGAGTGAGTGTGTTGGGTTTAACGCCGCTTTTAACATTATTCCAGTTACATCACGGCGGCTTAATGTGGAAAGAAAGCCTGAAGTGATGCAGGTCTCAGATGTTTACCCCTTCGGTGAAACCCACGAGCACGGGTATGGTGCTGACAAACCTAGAAACATAATCGGGGCAGCATTACAAAAAGCCATACATCATAAAATATATTTTAAGTGAACGATTAACACACACAAATGTAGGAAAGAGTGAATGTCTTTCACATACCACAGGCTCTGCTGAACAGACAGTGACAGGAGAAGCAATACATGTATACACAAATATTCAATACTGTAACTATAATCTCCGATGAAGAGTCCCGACCAAACACTCATTAGAGTACTGCCCTCAAGTAGAGGCAGGGAGATCGGGTGTACAGCAGGGAGCTGTATCTCTTTACACCTCACAATACAAGCCTTGACCGTAGGCCCATGTCGGCTTGTAAACAGTCTCATCCCTGTACATTCATGATGACATCATCAGTTGTGTGATCTATCTGACTGGCACCTTGGACCATTCTCGTACAGCAGGCTGATAAATATCTTACAAAGAATAACATTTGCGAAAAGAAATGTCATTGGGTCCATAGCTATTAAATATTATGAAAGTTATGTTAACTGATATTCTTGAAATATTCAGTGCAGTGTTCAAAGTTAAGGAGTTGTGCAGGTTGGAGCCAAAAGCATTAAAGAGAAGTTCACTTAGCCTTGCTCCAGTCTGTACTGATTGATAAGTCCATGATGAATAGTAATTCTATCCTCATTATTAGCAAGTCCAGATAAGTGGACAGTACAAGGATGCCAGTCTTTTTTAGAGACAAGATATTACTTAGCATGTGGCCCTGCTAGCCTTGCTTAAGTCTGCTCTGAATGATAAGTCCACAGATGTTTTGTAATTCAATCCTCATGATAAGCAAGTCCAGATAAGCGGACAGTACAAGGATGCAAGTCTTTTATTGGGACTTGTTCTTATTAATTATAAAATCTAGGAATTATGATTCAAACTAACAATCATTGCCTTAGAGATTTGTGCAAGCCAAAAGGACTGCCTACATTACTGTAAGATGAAGGTTATGACAAGGACTCCTTGACTATCATGCACAGTTTGGGTTCTTTCATTCAACAATTGGCACTGTTACTATAGTGTTAGCCTGTTGTGATGTTTAATCTCAATATCAGTGTTCACTACGGCTGCAACGAATACACTGTGAGGCGAATACGATTCATATCACGAATATAGGGTAACAAATACGAATATTAATTCACAATTACAATAACAAGTCAGCAATTTATGTATTATTTATTATATTCAGTGAAACAATAACATAAATTATTTGACATGGTTTGTTAATTATTAATAAATAATTTATACATTTATATACTGCACTTATCCAGGTACTAGTATCTGCTCAAATGCGACAATGACAAGTGACAACAATACTGTCAAATTAAATATTATTAGAGTGTTGTCATTGAAAGAAATCTATGCATATAATATGTTGTTATGGATATTTTTAAGTACAGGGTATGTAAATATACCTGATAGCATCTTCATAAATATTCGATTCTAGTGGCCATGAATAACGAATTCAATTCATGAATGGATACGTTTCGATTCACCGAATACGCGAGTGAATCGTAACAGCCCTAGTGTTCACATTTTGTTACGAAGGCTGCTTCTTGTGATGATCCTAGGACATAAGTGGTACATGCTCATTAGGGCTGGGACGAGTCCAAATTTACTACCCGGTACTCACCCCTCAGAGCTCCAGATAACTTTTGGAGCAATTCAGTTTTTACTCTAGGATTTTAATTGGGTTATAACATTTTTCATTGGGTAACCAATACTATTTCACTCCTTCAATTATCACTCTATTGGGTTTATCCCCAAATTAGTGAACATTTTAAGATTTAAAAAAAAATGAAATAATGTTTTAAATGTATATAACTGTTCTAATTATATAGGCTCGACTCAGAAAGTAAATTAACTCCTAATTGTGTTTCAGAAATTAGCTCTGTTGTACGCATGCTGAAAAAGCTTCATTGGGTATTTACGAGTGAGTTTTTTACGCAAATATGCAGCTTATCTGCAGCTCTGCCCCCCTATTACCCGACCCTACCCGGGTACCCAGTGTAGGTCTCAAGAGATTGGTACAAAATGTCTGATTGGGACACGTTTGACCGGACTCCTGTCAAAATGTATTTAGATACATGTATAAACCGATCTGGTCATGCATACACTGAAGCTGACTTTATCTTTACGCAAACATATAAAGTCAGAAAGAAACCTGAAACCTAGAGTGTAACCATAGAGTTCAAGATATTGTTTTAAATTAAACAATATATAATGACGTGACTTACCACGGGTCCTACTCAGTACCCATCCGACCCGAGTACCCAAGTTACCCATCCCAGCCCTAGTGCTCATCCACGACCTATAAAGCGAAATTCTTATCAAACATGTCACATCTGTACACAAACAACCTCAAATAGAACCAAGTGTTGTTACTGTGTTGGATGAGTGAGTGGGTTGAGTTCTCGGATATAACAGTCCACATAACCTGCACCCTGGTAGTGAAGCCTCAGACCCGTGAAGATTCCGGGGTAGAATAGGTCTGCAGCAACCCATGCTTGCTGTAAAAGGTGACTATGCTTGTCGTAAAAGGCGACTAACAGGATCGGGTGGTCAGGCTTGCTGACTTGGTTGATGCATGTCATCGATCCCAATTGCGTGGATCGATGCTCATGACATTAATTACTGGATTGTCTGGTCCAGACTCGATTATTTACAGACCGCCGTCATATAGCTGGAATATTGCTGAGTGCTGTGTTAAACAACAAACCAACAAACCAACTGAAGCCTCACATGGTCCACCACTGGGTTGAACAGGAAAAAACTGAATTACGAACAGGATGCCATGACAGAGAACGACCTATGACAACACTATTCCATGCAAGTCCATTGCATCTTACTCCCTCCCTACTCCCTCGGTAACTCCACCCTAACTCCTGTGTAGAACGACCTGTGTAGAACGACCTATGACAACACTATTCCATGCAAGTCCACTAGCTCCCTCCCCACGCCCACACCTACTCCACCCTAACTCTACCTGACTACCTCAGTACACTGTATCCAGCTGCCCAGTCCTCCGCAGCTTCACTCCCAGTGGGACACTCTGACACTCAGTGGGACACTCTGACACCCAGTGGGACACTCTGACAGACTCGTAATCCTATCTTCATGTTCACCTCATTCATGGAACTGAGCTTGAATAAAAAGCTCCAGCCCTACCAGCTGTTGCTATCTGAGATATCTCTCTCACAAGTCCTATCACTGCTCCCCACATCACTCACACTCCGATACTTTCCTGATGAAAGAACCCCCTTGGAATCTAGGGCTGGGGAACTGGTACACGAAGATTTTTAAAAACCAACATGTTCCCATTCACCCGACAGATGACTCATTGTACAAATGCTGGCAGTACTATTTTCTACCATGTTGGTTTGCTTGTTGTTTAACGTCACACCGTGTAGTAGTGGGACGATACACGATCACTGTTTTTACTTCAAGTTCTTACCTTAAACATATTCTTCAATATCTGTCACACCAAACACTAGTTACTTGTGAAATTGAGTCGCGAAAATGTAATTATTTTCATCCTTTGCGCCATACTCGACACTGCCAACTGTAATTGTTAGTGTGCCAGGTATTTGGCCATACTGTCTATGTAAAGATGGCTTACACTTCCTACAGATAAGAGTGAGTGAGTTAGTGAGTTGGGTTTAACGCTGCTTTTAACAGTATTCCAGTTATATCGCGGCGTGTCAGCTTAATATGGGAGGAAAGCCCGAAGTGATGAAAGTCTCAGACATTTACCACTTCGGTGAAACCCACGAGCAGGGGTATGGTGCTGACAAACCTAGAAACATAATCGGAGCGAACTGGGATTCGAACCCACAATCATAGGTTTCTGGCGTACTACAGATAAGAGCACACACAGAATATCATGATACGTATCGTATACAGTTCGTATATCGTCCCAGCCCTTTGTGACATTCCTGCTATATGGTGCTCAGTAAATAGTTTGGACAAGAATAAACAGTTAGTGACATAATACTTAATAGGTAACAATCCACCGTCCCAGGGAAGGTTGACATGCAATTAACCAGCTCACCGAGCCTGACCACCCAATCCCTTAAGTCACCTTGTACTACAAGTTGTAGTCTGTCTTACAGACCCTGATACAAATATGTATCAAATATAGCCCATGCAAGTCTATAATGTTTGGCAAGTCTAGATTACTGCAGTATCTGAAAATGAAGAGAGTCAGTGAGCTCCCTTTTATTATATTTTTATTAAGATAACTGAACAACTGTTTTTTCTGTACGATATGATCATTTCAGAGGCTAGATGTTAGTCTATACAAGTTGCTGGGGACCAATTCTTACCCAGAATCCCCAGGGAGGTTACAATGTAGAGTGTCACTGAGTGCAGTGATTGTCAACCATCCAATATGGCTACTTACAGCTACACGAGCTGCAGCACTCGGGTCAGGATGCAGGAAGAGGACCTTCATGGCTTCCTCCATGCACATGTTCTGTTTCCTTCCTTTTCCACAGAAGAGAGCATGCAAATCACCCTCTCCCTTCGACAACAAGATCTTGTCAGAAGTCAGATTTTATGACCCAAGTCAAATATACCCATAGGTATACACTCAGTTTATATTGAAATATTCACCAGCATACCATCATCTATACTAGGGCAATATTGAAATATTCACCAGCATACCATCATCTAATCCA